TGAATGGGACTTATAGTAAGGGCTTTGACACTTTTGAACACGTCATTGCCAGAGGATTACAACTAATGGGAGAAAAAACTGTCTCCCACATCCCTGGGTTCCCACCAGACAGGGCATCTCTTAATCCCAAACTGCTTCAGGTGCTGCAGTGCAAGGTTGCAATGGCAGTTTCTCTTCTGCGAGAAACTGAGAAATACTTGGTCTCTTTTAATGAGGAAGCAAATTCAGACCTCATGACAGTGGTAGTTTGGGATTTTTTAAAAAAAATTATTTCCTGCTTGTATTTAAGTTTCAGTTTATCAAAATCAAAGGTGTTTCATTCCCTGACGTAGAACAGTGTAAGAATCTGGTCTGATCTCACCGCGCATTGCAAAGTGAGCGGCCACACTGGATGACCTGCGGGGTTCACTTCCAACCTGAGAAATTCTCCTGTTCTACGACACGCAGACGTTCACTGTAGGCTCATGCCACAATCCAGAAAATGAGAAATCTTAAAAAAGAAATCTTAAAAAAGAAGCTAAAGATTTCTTTACAACAAGCTGTCAATATTATTACACATACATTAAGTCATGTATGCCTTCTCATTTACCAGCCTCCACATCTCATTTCAGAAATTTTAAATATAATTCCCTTAACAGACTTACCCAATGTTAGAAACATTGATTATATAATAGCAGACTCAAAAAAGGAAAAACCTTGTAGCTACAGAATGTTAACAGCTCTTTGCAGTATTACCAAATAACCTTGTCAAATATGTATTGCAGTTGCCTCTCCATTTTCTGTAAGATTACATAAAAGGACTATAAAGCGAGCCGTTACATAAACAGCACCTCTGGTGAGTCCGTATTCGTTCTGACATTCTCTAAACTGAGTTGCACTTGGTGTTTGTTTAATGTTGTCAATTCACTTCCAATTGACAATAACTGACATGGGCTGACCCAGTGTTCTCATGTTCTCTCTCAAGTATGCATATAGGAAATTAATTTTGTAGGCAAAATAATCCTTGTTTTCTTCCCAATCCACAGTATCTACTCTCTGTTGTTAGCTATTTATATCTCAAGTTAGCCATTTTCTTAGAACTGCTCAAAATCCTTCTTCCCCGTTTGCAGTAAAATGGATTAAAAAGCAGACAATAAAATCAATCACTCTTTAGAATACACAATCACAATTATTTTGTAATTACTTACCATTTCTAAGTATTTCTTTGTATGAACCTTTATTCCAGAAGTACTTTTGTTCTTCAAAACCTATTTAAAACTGCTTAGAAAACGCTCTCTTTGTTCCAGAAACGCTCACGTGTAAGTGCTTTACTGCTGGCAGAAGGACTTCACGTTTGACAGAGGCAGCATCGGAGCGGCCAATTACTGTACGTGACAGACACGACTGCGCCGATTCACAGGTGCAAGGACTGACCCACTGACTGCAGCGCGAGGAAGAACGCTGTGGTTATTTCCAGAAGTTGCATACAAGCCACATGAACACATCAAATCAAATTTAACATTGGGTAACCTAAGTCTTTGGACCCCTGTTTGCCCAACTCCCTCCTCCTCAGAAAACAACGCCCAAACAAAACCCACATCCAAACTGCTCTCTCGAAGCTACACTAATCACAACTGTCTGAAAGGCTGGGGATGTTCTTTTTAAATAATATCAGTTTTATAAAAAAAAATAAAGTCCTTCATCATAGGCAGCAGTTCCCTTATTTCCCTTTGTCTTCTAAATTTTGTCAGTCTTGTATTCATCAAAACTCATGTAGTGGTATGCTAAAAAAAATAAAAAATCCTCTGTTGCCTAGAAATGTCTGTTCCACGTTTTACATTACAGAGCAAAGAGAAGCAGGACAAAGACAGATTAATTCTTGAAACAGCTTCAGCTCATTCTGTCGAATTCACAGAATCACAGAACATTCGGGGTTGGAAGGGGCCTTGGAAGATCATCTGGTCCAGCCCACCACCAGAGCAGGATCACCCAGAGTAGGTCACACAGGAACACGTCCAGGCAGGTTTTGAAAGTCTCCAGAGCAGGAGACTCCCCACCCTCCCTGGGCAGCCTGGGCCAGGGCTCTGGCACCCTCACAGTGAAAGAGTTTTTTCTAATGTTTTTGTGGAACCTCCTGTGCTCCAGCGTGCACCCGTTGCCCCTTGTCCTGTCATTGGACATCACTGAGAAGAACCTGGCTCCGTCCTCCCGACACTCACCTTTTGCATATTTATGAACATGAATGAGGTCACCCCTCAGCCTCCTCCAAGCTAGAGAGACCCAGCTCCTGCAGCCTTTCCTCACAAGGGAGATGTTCTGCTCCCTTCATCATCTTTGTGGGAGGTCCCAGTACCAACACCTGAGGAACTCCACTAGACACAGGCCTCCAGCCAAACTCTGTCCCATTGACCACAACTCTCTGACTTCTTTCCTCCAACCAGTTCCCAACCCACCTCACTACTCAATCATCCAGACCCCACTTCCTTAGTTCAGCTACAAGGATGCTGTGGGAGACGGCGTCAAACGCTTTACCGAAACCCCACATCTGATGCCTTTTCCACCGGTGGTACGGCACTGCTGAGATAAGCAGCAGCGATACCTGCAAAATCTGAGTATTTCAGTTGTACAGATGCTTCTAAGAAGAGCCATTTAACATTTTCCTGATGCTAAGATTTTACTTTCTTGGTTTGCCTTCATGAATAAGTTTGCCTTATTAATTGCAAAGTTCAGTAGTCTCACTCCTATCCAGTTTTCCCAATACGACAAGGAAATAATGAACTAAGTGAAAGTGCTCAATTATCTTACACTTAGTTGTAAGTTTTGGTATTAACTCTGCACCCATATCCTCATTTCTTTTGGAGTATAATATGACGGAGAGAAGGCTGGCATGGCCTTCCCAGGGGAATAACGGCATCGAGGCCGTGCCAGCAAAATGGTGTGGGAGCAGCAACTGAAGCTGAAACATTAGCACACGGGGAATGGGTCCGATTGCCATCTGTACATCAGAACCACAAACCTATTTCCAAACTTCCAGTTCTGTGGTAGGCAGGTAAACAGAAGAGTTATTTTAGTTCTGCCCTGTGAAAGATGCACTTTTAGGAGGAATTTTTTGAGAATATATTAAGAGCTTTATTCAAGTATCTCCCATGTTTTTAAAGTTTAATATTAAAGCAAAATTTCATGGGCATAGTTTAAATTAAAAATTCCATTAATGTCTGCATAATTCTCTCTGCACCTTTTTGGTAAGAAGTTTCAGGAAATATACTACCTATACTCTAAGACATAGGTACAGACTATATGACATAACATTGCAGCAAAAACATAAAAGTCTTACTCAACCTCTCCCTGAAAATATTTGCAAAGGTCGCAAGAACATCATGACCATGAAAACAGCCACAAGATACTTGCTTAGATAAATTTATTAGTGCACAGGTTAGAGATTTACTCCCCTCCAATATTAACAAAACAAAGGTTTATGTGAAAAACAGTTTTGCTTTAAAATAACAAACTCATTGAGGCAGCTACATAACAACAAGTAAAAAGTATGAAGTGGCCTACTCGAAGTTCTGGTCTCGATGGGCAAATTATTGCATTATAAATAAAAAAATTCAACATGATGGGATTTGGGCGGGTCATTTTAGGTAACCGGCTGTCCGACAGCAGAACCAACTTTTTCCCCCCAATCTAATTTGTGTATCTGTATAAATAATATTTACTGATAAAAATCTAGAAAAAACTATAGAATAAAAATACATTTTACCTAGAATGAGTACTAAGGCAACCATTCTTTCCTTACTTTGCATGTAAACGTCCTCACAAACATTGGTGAGTGTTCTGGACTCAGAGGTAAAGAAATTTGTTCATTAATGAAGTCGAAATTTTCAAGCGACTTCTTTATGGCTGGCTTGCAAAAAGACCGATAATTGTATTTTTTTCTTGTTTTAAAACATGCTTGACATCTGAATAGCTCCAGCACATTCACGGTATATTTGGAAAGCAAAGCAGAAATACTCATACATACAATATAAATTGTAAACTTTGCTGAATTTCATTAAGTCAACAGACTGAATTATAGTTTACTGAGTCAATTTGATCTTAGACACTTGCAAGAAGGATTCTAACCTTTTAGGACCAAGTTATTGCAGTGAACATTATAGCTGAATATTTGGAAACTTTGACAAGTGTAGTTTTCGACTGTTTAAAAAGGCACACGTTATACTTTCCTTTAATTCTTTTACAGTGTAAATATATCTACATATCTACATGAATATCCTTAAACAATAAGAAAATTCAAGTTACAAATATTTTACACACAAAATACAAAAATAACCTGTAACATTCAATGCAGTTATTTGGTTAAATCTGAAATCTTCGAAGCCTCACAAGCCAGCGTTACAACAGGCATGTATATCCTAAAACACTTCATACACGTTATGTAACACAAACTGCACAACAGATCAGTGTCTTAGTTCACGTTACATTTCAAACTTTTCTGAGGGAGAAAATCCCTATGTGCTATATTCACAAGTCAACATTAGCAAGCTTCTGAGCAAGAAATCTTGACTTGGCTTTATAAAGTATGATTTTTTTTTTTGTTATAGCCATATGAACAATAAGCCTAAACAGATCCATCTGTTTCTTTTGCCCAAGGATTATCTGTAAAATTATCTCCTCAAGTTCCAATTCAATGTACTTCATTAATGTGCTCTTTTACCAGAAATGTTGCAACTACTTTATTATAAAGGCAAGGAAATAGTTAAAGCATTTAACCTTAGTCATATTGAAAGAGAAAAACAGAACAAACAAAAAACAACCCTGGAAAGTGTGAAAAAGCAGGTTTTTTTTCCTTCCTTCTCAAACGTAATGCATTAAGCAGACAGTTAAATAAGTAGTCTTTCCAGGATAAAATATTTTAGCACTTCTTGGAGAAAAATTGTTTAAGTATAAAGCTTTGATAGCTTCAAGTGACCAAAAACTTAAAGACAAGGCTACATCTCCAAAATATTCACAAGAGTGCTTACAAAAGCAGCACTGGCAAGGTACTAAAATTCACGGTTAGAATTCTATTAGCAATAGCAAAACAGTAAAACAGGCAGAACTCAACAGTCTCTCAACTCCCTATTTAAACTGTTTGTAACACTGAGATATGAAAAAAATCCTAAGTTACTTTAGTTCAAAACAATAAAGTTTCAGTCTTACAAATGTCTAGTTTCTGATGAAAATCCATACATATCCTAATACATTCCGATATTCATTTATGAGTAAACATTAAGGGCGCTTTTGTTTTCATTTTTAACCATTAGTGACAGGTCATCATCATGGAACAGCGTAAGGCATCATCTGTTAAAAAAGGTTTGGTTTTACTGAAGATGTATTTTGGAGTTTCTGAACGTTCGTAACTGTTGGAATGTGCTTGCTATGATAGTGTTGTTGCTAGAATAATTCCAAGTATCAGAACCAATACAGTTACACATATAATTATGAACATCAATTTCTGCAAAAAAAAAAAAAGAGAGACAAGTTGGGATTGAAATAACCTATCAGATACAGAACTGCTTAAATACACGCACAGCCACAGAAAATAACAGTGCTACCCAGTCTGAGTGCTTGGATTTCTTTCTAAAGAATACTAACTGCTACCATTTCCTACTCTTAAGGCTTTCTCTTCTAACATACATGCAACCATAGTTACAAGACAGAGCTATCGGTGTAACATTTCTGCATTTGCTTCACAGAGCAATTGTTATTGCTCACACCCTACATATGTAAATAAGTAAAACAGATGCGCTAGTGAACTAAGTTGACTTATCAAGGTCAAGCCTAAGTACAGTAACATTTCTTACTGCCACCCTCCTTGGATAAATATTTGTGGCCTGCTCAAACCTCCACTTAGTGGAGTTCAATAAAACATCTGTAAAACCACTGTGTGGATAATAGCTCAAAAGAGCTGCAAGAGAAAAGAAAAAAATAGAGAAGGGTTCTACGTAAACACATTGCAGCCTGACACTAGGTCAGGTATTTCTGACTACAAACAGTAAATCCTGTTATCAGCCCATAAACCAAAGCTGCGAAGAAACATCAAACCCAAACCCCTGAATATTAAAAGAACGTTTGTACAGGAATCTGAATTCCTGATTAGCTGTCTGAAATGACATCCTACTCATAGTGCTTCATGTATAGTCTGAAGATACTACATGTGAAAATGGAGTTTTCTGTTGGGACTCCCCTGAGTTAACTGCTATTTTCTCCTTAGCCCGGCCAGGCGTTACCTTGACAAGAAATGGTAGATTAGCACGGAGAAAATGTGAAGACTTAAAGAATTCTCAAACTTATAACCTAAAATCCCAGTTGAAATCTTTGCAGACTTCCTTTTACAAATACATTGTTACTTTCCACTGTTTCACTTAGTCTAGCATTAATAAAGAGCTTCGAAGTAAGAAATTTTAGGATGTTCTGCAAGGCATAATAGCCGACTTCACAGCTGCAGACATCTACTTTGATCAAAAATCTCTACTTAAAAGCACGGAACTTTATCAAATGCAGTTTTCTGAGTGTAACTAGTACCCCATATCTGTTTGCTGATGTGAACTTTCAGTGTAAAAAAAACACAACAAAAAACATTCAAAGGGCTGCAAGACAATAATTGGATTTTTTGGTCTCATTCTTCCCTGCTGCCCAGTCTCACGTAGCGACTGCGTTCTGTAACTTCAGCCGCCAACCACTAGATGTCAGGTTTCGTACCCCCATGCAGAGCATCTCCCGAACATGCAGAGACACAGAAGATGCCCCAAAGCATCTCAAGCCCCTCCCCACCAGTAACCGCCCGGAGATTAAGAGTTAGTAGAACAATACGAGTTACCAGAACAAGGCAATAGCAAAATTATTTGATTAGTTACTTACTGCCACACTGGCAGGAAGTCATGCATGCTGAGGTTATCCAAGCATCACCGAAAACCAACAGACAAACCAATAATTAGACCAATTATGACAACCAACACCAATGACACAATGATAATTATCCACATTTTCTGTCAAAAAACAAGGCATTATTATTTTAATATTAAGCACATTAAGATTTGCATTGATTTTCAATTTTTAAAATAGTCATTTTTAGATCCACACTCATTTTTATTAAAGCCTGTAGAATTATCAAATGGTGAAGAATTTATCTGTATACTCTTGCATGCATAAGAAAAAACGTTTAAAATAGTGTTTACAGGTAAGCTGGTGCAATTAACACCTATATACTTATGAAAGATGAGAAAACCACCCTAACCCAGTACTGTTACAAGAGAACACAGCAGTCACAGAATTCTAAAAATGTAAGCCTGCCGCAGCAAAGCCAGTAATTTTATTTTTCCCCGCTAACATGGTGATTTTATAGGTATAAATCCAGGTAAGTTTACCAGTGATAAAGATCTGAAAAGCTTCAAGCTTATTTAGAGTTTGAATAATTTAAGGTATCACGGTAGTAGATAAGAACAACCTGTGAATTTACCTACTAGCATAATGTATTAATTCTTCTTTTGGGGTTTTAACACTCTAACAACAGCCTTTTAAGTGGAAATTTGTCAAACTGGCTGTGCATAAATTGCTTATCTGTTTTTGTAGTACAAGACGTTCCTGTTCTCTACCGCTAATATCACTTTATAATATTAACTATAACAAATTAATTCACATTTAAAATGTTCTGATTTCTTTCAGATTATGGGGTTTTTTCTTTGTTTGTTAAACACTTTGGTAAATCTTCCTCTCTGTCATACATTTCTAATTACATTTTCTAATCTAATTTTAAACATCACAACTACAAAAAAGTAAAATGTGTATACTAATTCTACCTTGAAGGACTGAATTCAACAACAAAAAAAATGAACTAAAACTGAAAATTGCTCCATACTGTGCTAAATTAATATACTGACTGGCACAATTACAGAAAGACAGCATACCCTTCGTGCTTTACTTTGATATTGGACTGCCTTTTTTGTCTCTTCTTTTGCATGTTCCACGTAATCTGATGCATTCATCACATTCTTTTCTATGTTGTTGATCATTTCACCCTTAAAATGAAATTTTGAAGAAAAAACAGATTATCAGAATCCATGAATCTTTATTTAATGAACTCAAGAGAAGAAAGGCTATAGACCATCAGCGACTATTTTAAACAAGCAAATAAGGTACATGTTAGTGAGTGACATTGTTTCTGCTTTGATGCATCACGGAAAAAGGGAATGAGAAGCAAGTTCTACCCTAACAAGGAACATTCACAGGCAGGACAGGTGCATTTCTCCCTTTTGCAGGAACAAACCCTGCACCCATGAAAACATACCTTTGAAAGGGAGGTACGTTTCAACAGCCAGGACTAAAACTGACAGACTACAGAGATCAGGCATCCCTGGGGTGCCTGGAAGCGGGAAAGGGTGACACAAGGTTCAACAGTTACCAAAGAAAAGGTCACGCATGTAAGAGCAACCTCAAAAGTTCCTCAGAACTGAGGGTTTCGAATGTCAGTACATAACAAATTCAGATTTCTTATGATGAATGAAAATTGGCGATGAAATGGAGAAGTGGTGAATAAATTACAGTAAGACTGTTACCTGTGTTTCTGTCCGTCAGAAGAAATAATCAGCAGCAGTAAACAGCAAAGCATTAAACAATGATGCAAAAGTAACTTTTGTTCATTTCTAATTCAAAAGAAAACTGCTACCAGTTTGCCCTGGCTATATATTTACTACCAAAGCAACACAGGGACTTTAGAACAAAACTCGATTGAAAAAAAAAACAACAACACAGGCCTTTTCAGGAAAGTTTCTCTCCTGAACGTTACTAATTTTCCTGCATAAGTCAAAGAATTTTAAGAGCAGAAGTTATTTGTTAGATAATTGGTACGTAAAGACTAGAAATAGAATAAATTTATATATGTATCAAGACAAAGCTTATGACTCTAAGAGACAACTGGAACAACTTATAACTAACATGAATGTAAAGGTTTGACAAGAGCAATCCTACCCTCGCATCCATCCTTGCTCACACCCATTTTATTCTACCACCGTGGTCCTCGACCACATTTGTGAGAATCTTACATTCCCAGGGTATTAGGCAACATTCCAGGAGAGAGTTGCTCTTACTTAAACATGCACAAAATGTTCAACCTCACTACAATATAAGCACATCAAAGAAATATTAAGTGCGCCAACTGAAAGAAAGTGTACGCTTATTTATCCCTGGTGTTACCGTACAAGTACATCTAGACAGTATGTTTAGCTAAACCAAACAAAAAACCTTTAGTGATTTCCTATATTCTAATCACAGTCTAAACCCACTACAAGTCTGAGTGATTTGAATATAAGTAATTGCTTCTGCATCTTTCAAAGAGGAAGACTGGACAAAAAAAATCCCACTTAGGTAAATGTGTTTGAATTGGTTCGTTTACCTGAGTCTCAACAAACATTGCCATGTCCATAAACATTTCATGTAGCTCCCGTATACTAGATTCCAGCTTCATAATATCCTTGTGACGTGATTCAATTTCGTTCAGAGCTTGCCTAGTTATCTGAGAGTCTGATATAATCTTTGGGAGAATGAAAAAAGATATGGACATAAATAAGTGCATGCTGACACCCTTCTAAACAGCGGAAGCAGCAGAATAGAAGCAAGACATAACTGGACTAGAAATACATACATCGGAAGTGAAAATTGAAGGATTACCGCTCTCTAACATTTCTTCCAGTTCTTCATCAGTGGTGGTTTTTCCAGCTAGGATAAATACAACAGTACTTCACATAACATCACTTAGTCATTATTGAACATAGAATTTTACCATACCAGAAGGACGGCAATTCAAAGAAAATTCTTTGTACTGAGCATTTTTCAGGGTAAAACAATGTAGTGTTTAGTGATTACCAAGTGCCATTTTGCATATGAAAAAAACCCCAAGCAGAAAACACCAAGTAACAGTCAGAAAACAAATGTAGATTCAAAGCTACAATGAAGAATTTCTTGTTCATCGTGGTTTTTTTGTTTTGGGTGGGGGTTTTTTTGGTTAAATTCAAAAGTCTGATCAGAAACATTTACAATGTACATATGAACCCTGTAAAGTGGAGTGTTCTTCAGAAGGAAGAACTTGACACCGAACATTTATACAACGTTCGGTATTTACCTATTCACTCATGCCACACTGGAACCTAATTTACTTGATCTCCACTACTATATGGGCAATAAAATCTTGACATAGATTTTTTTTTTTTTTGGAAACACAAGCTTACACTCATGTTCCACACAAAGAATATCATTTCCCATAGCTTACCTTCACTTCTACTTTTCATAATACATCTAACAATTCACGTGGTTTACAATTGCATGTTTCAAACTGAATCCTATCGATCACACTGGGATGACAAATGCGTGTTACGAGTTGCACAACACATTCAAGTGGTATGTTCTGTAGTTTTAAAAATTATCTATCACATCCCTGTCCTCACGTAAAATAAGCTGAATATCTGTAATTACATAATTCTGTCCTATGAGATGTAAGTTGCAGTTTGAATATTACTTTCTGATATTAATATCCAAGAATGCTACAAAACTTGCTTTAAAAATTTTATTGTTGTGGAAAAGCTGACAGCTCTAATTAACTAATCTTGCTACCATATATTAAGGATTTTTTAGACACCTTCCGAGGTAGATGCTGTATTTCAGAGTAGAGTCACCCACCTTTTTTCAATATTCATATTAATCAATGATAAATTAAATGTGAGTCAGTCAACAAATTAGTGGGAGTAATTTAACAGCAGTACCGATTTTGTCGGCTGAATTTCACAAATGTTCTTAATGATAAAAACAGCATAGCATAAAAAGAGATTTCCTGTTTGGTAATGTTAAATTTGGAATGGCCTTTAGTAACATTCGCTATCTTTGGAAGACATCTTAATGTTTCATTTAAAATCGCAACACTGGAAATAAATGAAACAAAGGAAAAAGGTATTTACTTTTATAGTTTTCAACATAGAAGAAATGATTTAGTGACTTTTGTCTATATTCTTTACAGCTATTCTGAACAGTAGTATAAAAGAACTCACGTGATATGATAAAATTGTTTCTTTTTCGTCACACGCTTCAAGATGTGCAAGACATATGATGCTTTGTACCGAATTTAAGTAATAAGAAACAAGAGAAGCACTAACAACATAATTTTTTAAAGAAAAAATTTATTCAGTTCACTTACTTATCTCTAGTTGTCTCTGTATCCGACCTTTGCTGCGCTCTCGAAAAAGAGTTTGGGTCTCGTTGTATTCCGTCATGACCTCCACAAACTTGTGAGCTAATACAGAGTGCTGTTTTTTAGGATTTAAAGATGTGGAACAAAAAAGTTTATGTTTTTTTAATACAGAAAATACTACTGAATGACAAGTGAAAGTGGTATTTACGTTCCACCAAACCAGAATACAAAGTTCTGAAACTATTTCAGAAAAGTGAAACTCATTCTCTGATTTACTAGAATACTTTTGATTTCTTTAAACTTCTTAAGTCATCATACCTGTGTTTTTCTGATCCTGAGGTCCACTGATGTCCGATTAGCATTTTCACCCTGATCAAAACTTTGTTCAATAGCTAAGAACAACACAAGAGTATTACGAGTTAATGTTCAATGCAATTATTTGCAGTGTAGCTCAGACACTTTGTAAATACTATTAATTGTTTCTTTTTTCATGTACAAGCTCCCCATGTTGAACATTTCAGGGGGAGAAGGGGCATGGCAGTGACATACAAACACACACACACACACACATATATATATATATATATATATAGTGGCCGAGACCTAACCTGCAATTACGATTTAAAATAATTTTGATAATTGGTACAGATCTTAAGACACAGTAACTACTTCAATATTAAAAGGCACACTACTGCCTATTACTCTGGAAAAATGTCAAAAAGCCTAACAAAATGGGCCGCTCTTACAGTTTAAACAATAAACACTGTACTCTGGTGTTTATGGAAGGAAAAAAAGCGTATCGGAATTGCAATGTAGTAACACTGAAATATACACTTAATATATTTCAGAACCTGTGCTAAGCAATTCACACAATTCCCTATGTATTTATGCCACGGAGTCAGTGTTTTTGCAGTTGAAATTAATCTTCTTCCAAAACTTCACGACCACAACACAGCATTTCAGTTGCAGAATATCCTTCTCCACAGAGGAATTACATCACTTTGTAATCTTCCAGGTTATTCTTCCAGGTTATACCTGAGAGCAAGCAAGCTCCCTGTGCCGAGACCTCCTACTTATCACCAGCGAAGCTTTGCCAAGGAGGAATGAAGTGGAGGATGACACTGCTACCGACAGGGACTGTACATCACCTGGCAGGGAGATGGTTTTCTCTCTCTCTCTCCCCCTCCTCCCTCGCTGGGTTTTGTTTGTTTGCTTTTTTAAGAGCTGTACAATACAACTTCTGCACACGTAACGCAGCTTTTAAAGCTCAGAAGTCCAGCTGCAATGCATGAAGTCTGTAACACTGCAGCATCCTGAATCATTGCAAGTGAAGGAAGTTTTATTTCTCCTCACAACTTACCCTTTAACCTGGCTCGAATTTTATTAGCAATCTTCTTTATTTCCTCATTTAATTCTTCAAGTTCTTCCTTTGTTCCTTTAAAAAAATATTTTTTTTTCTTTAGGACTGTGAATGATTGATCATAGCAAGCCAACAACCATCTACAACTCTACCTTGCAATCTCATACTTGTATTCATTGCAACCATGCAGAGAAGAAAATACTTTTTATAACAGCATAATATCAGAGCTCTGCTTCTTATGACAGGCCCTTACACTTGGGAAACGTTATTACCCAATTACCAGCTACACCAGGTGATAAAATATTGCACATTTTTTCTTAGCATAACACTTGCAGTAGAATATTAACTTGCTGGTCAAAATGAAAGTTCACTGTAGTCCATCAAGCGTAAATACAGATTTATCTCATTTTTTAAAATTCTGGTTTTTATCATGGACTCATGGCTTTTACCTTATTAAGATAACTGTATCGGGCACTACCTATATTTGCTGAAGAATAATATACAGAGTATTCATGAAGATCTTAGCTAGATCTGTTACTGCGTTTAGTGAAGACAATAGATTCCCAAGGGCATAAATCACTTACAACCAATGTCATAGGCCAACAGAATTCAGACGTGTTATCGAGCACAATTTCTAGCACAAACCCAACATGAAACCACAGATTTTGAACATCCAGAGGAACCCTCACTAAACCTGAGATTCGTCGACTCTATACAATTGCTAAGACAAAAAGAAGTCTGCAAAAAGGATTTGGAAGAATACAAACATATGCCTACCCAAAACCTAAGAAAATAGAGGGAAAAGAAAAACTAAAATCCAAAGTTCAGTTTTCCTCAGTAAGAAGGTAAATGTTAAGCTAAACTAATGAGTGTTGAGAACAGAGAAGGTTTCACTTGGCTGGGTAAGTTCCCTAAACTTTCAAGTTCTCTGTCCAGAAAGCACATCCTCACTTGCAGCTTTGGGGTTAAAGCCTCTAAAAACAGGGCTCCAGCCCAGAACTCTGACGACCACTTAAAGAACTGACTGGAGCATCAGTGGTAAGGCAGGATCTTGCCCCTATCGAAGAACAAAGAGAAGACGATGGTGGCTCTACCACAGCAGCCTCTGTTGACAGCTTCAACCTTTTCACAAATTGAAAGAAATGCAAATAGTCTTTAAGGTTCTGAAGACACAATCAATTTCAAGATACCATATTAAACTGACTTTTGGTTTGGATGACGCAAAAATATTCTGAATATGTATTTATTCAAGCGCTACTTAAAAAGACAGAAGTAACGAAAATAAAATATTAATTCACTATTAAATATGGAAATATTTAAATGAATTGTCCTACATTTTGCATTCTGAACACCTGAAGTTCTATTCCTATAGATAGCTAAAACAAGAGAAAAATCAGAGTATCTAGACACACATATCTGAAATCTAGAAAAGCAATACTCACTTCCTTCTGGATTTGGTGCTGACAGGATAATGCTGTGCTGCTTCTTCACTTCTTCCACATTTTGTGCTATTTTTGCTATATTATTTCGAAGTTCCTCAACCTAAAGGAAGAGAAATATGGTCATGAAAACATTAGAATACTTTAGGGCAAATATTCCTTAAAACTAAAAATCTTTGGTGATAAAAATCATTAAGTACTTCATTGCAACATCTGTTAAGTATCTGACAGGAATCGCAGCAGAAACATTGACCTATCAACAGCTTGAATTTTATTTTTTTTAAAGAAAAATTTGTATTCTTAATAGCAAATATATCCTGTATGGCCAAAAACTTAAGTTTTACTATTCTTAATAAACAATATTTTAGAACTCTGTCAACAAACTCCTTGTCGACAGGGAGTTAAAAACCCTTCTATGCAGTAAAGACAGGAAATACTGTGAAATAAACAAGCAGAAGTGTTACCAACATTTGATGCGACCTACCATTACAAAGCATTTTAAGGTGGGTGTGGGTAGACAAATTGTTAAACTTCATTGCAGAAATTAAAATGCATGGAGAGAAAACCGTAAGTCTTCAATGTATGGTGAAAACTGTAACTTTACCTGTTGGAAGAAGTCATCCATAAAGTGGTCTTTTTCAACAACAACTGTCTCCCCATCTTCATTTCCTTTGTACTGTAAAAGACAACAAAACAAATATATGAAATAAAACTCAGGATAATGTCCTGAATCAACTACATCTTCTTCCACATTGATACCACATACACAGTTTTGTCATAGTCTGCAAAGTCCAAAAATTAAGTCCTCCTTTTTTGAGGACCGTTAATGTAAAAGCAAATAAGCAGAAAGGTCAAAGGAAGTCGTCTGACTACCACGAAGCTGTGAATGTGGAGGCACACACTCCTCTGGAAACTACTTCAGGACAGAACCAGTCCGTAAGTTACGTCCATTTTCACGATCTGTCATACAAATTATTAAAATACAATTTGGCATACAAATGTTCCCTCACAGCATAAAGATACTTCCACAGTGAGTCCCACATGAACTGATAATAATATTCATTTTACTGAGACAGTAAATAAAACCCTCTCAAAGCAATACTAAGAGGGGTGCTGCTGACTGCCTTGTGATGCGCTAAGCTAAACATCCCACGAAAGCCAGGAGAAAACGCTACCAACATCTGCTTACTAGTTTTGCCCTTGGGTGTTTTCAAGGCTGCCATTCCACACCAGTGTAGACATAATTACACTACACTGAACTACACACGCATTACATAACGGATAAACTCTTGGAACAGCAGCCAAGGAGGCAGAAGCTCAGGCTGACACGCTCTCTCAGATCTTCAGGGCACAGAGCCCAACTCGCTCCCTGAGTCACACTTCCCTGGCGCTTGAGCCAGCCCAGCAGAACGTAAGGATCTTGACAGTAAACATGATTCAAATTCAAGGAAAGTTATTACTTATACTTTGTGACAGTTCCCCTCCTGAAAATTCCGGGAGTGCATAAAGCCCAAGGGCAGTACGTCTGTCAGACACCATCTGGGTTTTACGCTCAGGGATTTGGATGTTACAGCTCTCCCAGACCAACCCCCAACCACTGTGTGTCATTAGAGACCTTTTTGAGTTGCTCATTTTGGGAAGAACTCTAATATTAAAGAATCTCACCTTAGGAACTGTCATCAGTTAACAGTCTTGCTTAATACAAGTGAGGAAGTCAGTGCCCAAACGAAGTCACCCAACTTTTACCCATTCCAGAGACAGCACTGCTAGACCTATCAATTCTAAGTTAATATTTAAGAATGAGCTACACTTTAAAGATGCTTAATTTCATTATCTACGTAGAAAAAAATCTAACACCTTCTGCTTATATTTAGGGAGGAAATAATAATTTTTCTAATTGCTTATAACCACACTGTGTATTTAGTTAACTAGAAATAATGAAAATAGTATCAACTAAGAGATTCTGCATGGCAGATATTAAACATCTGACTGAATATTAAACAGAAGAAAGACACAAAAATCTTACTCAGAAGACCCGACTGTAGATGCTAGGTGGGAAGGAAGCAATCACAATTACCAACCCTGCTGTCAGTTCAACATTTGTCTGACTTTCACATTTGGTTGCAATGACACCGCTGACAGATCAATTTGCTGTCTGCAATTTATTGAAGGATTTGTGGACAATTTGTTGAAGGATTTATGGACTTGAAACATCTGATGACTTGTCAACCTCTGTTCTCTACATTGTTAAATCATCACTTACCTAAATACAACTTATTTGCTAACTCTCTCCAACTTGAGTAATGCACCTTCTTTTGACAACCACACAATTCAACCAAAAACTCACTTTTATCATCAAGTTTAGCAGAAATTTATTTTTTCTCCCAGATCTTGCCTCTCCAGTATAAGCATTATCACAAACCGATAAAAAGTTTCATGGCAATGTGAAGAACAATCTAATGAAGCCCATTTGCAGCTCATACCTTGATCTCAGCACTCTAAGTCTGGGCCATACGATCTCATAAACATTCACAGACTTATAGAATAGATCAAGTTCTCTCAGAATTTGTTTAATGTGACAGAATCCAGATTCTCACACAGTATCATTTCTCGGCTCCACGCAGTAGCTATCCTGATGGTCACTCTAGTGACAAAGTATTGACCTTTGAAACTGAAAACAGCTTTTGACCTAAAACCAGAACTATTTCTTGCCCCCGAAATGCTGTTCAAGGTTAGTTATTTCTGCATCCAGATCATGTGTATTCCTCCGGCAGACTGCAAGGATAATAACTGATCACCACTGTTCCAGTGAATCAGACCCAAGCGCTGGGTTATGGAGTGTTACAGTTTCTCCTCACGGCATCAGTGTTTCCAGAAATTGTTTTCTATCAGAGTAGCCAAGGAGGGCGGACAGAGGGCCAAGGTCTGTCAAGCAGCTGTGACAGAGCAATCATTAAGGTGCATTTCAAAGCATTATTGTATGACCAGAAAAACATCCTGCGGTACGAGTCTACGAGAAACTACTTTACACTGTTATGACATGGAAAACACAGCTCATCTTCAGAAAACTCCATGTTTGAACAAAGACTAATCTAAGAGGTTAACTTGGGAAAAAAGAGCTTGGTAACGGTTTCCTCCATTTGAAAAGGCTCCTTCTGCATTGTTTTCCACAGCACTCAATTCTGCCAGCTTCAACTTCTGTGACTGTGGCTCCTCACTCACCCCTAAACAGTTCTGGGGGCACTAAGTGAACATCCAAGAAGTAGCTTACAAAGAAATCAACATAGTTCTGTTCAAGTTCCAGGCCCTTGTTTTGTTTTGTTTGTTTTTTCCTGTGGCTTTTTAAAAAAACAAATAACAAAAAAACCTCAAACAAACAAAAAACCACCAAAAACCTATGAGCATATTTTTCAAAGGTTACATCCAAAATATTCTCAGGAACATTCAAACGTAAAGAAATATAAAATGATGTATGTAAAATGTTTCATTGATCAGGTAAGAAAAATGGATTTCAAGAGATAGCTCTGCATCTGTTTTAGCATTTAGAAGAGCCTGAGATCTAGAACAGTGCACTTAAGCACAGAAGGTTGATGTCTTACCTCTTCCTTTGATGATTTAACAATAACAAAAAATTTTGAATAAGTTTTCTTAACAGACCTTTAAAAGGACATCCGATTTTAATATCTGACACCAGCTAAATATGCTGAACTGAGCGTCTAAACACAGACCCTACAGCTCATTTTAAGACAGACTCGTGCCTGCGAATGCTGGGAGAATATTTTATACAATCCTTGCGAAGTATTTGCACAAATGAGGACACGTAAACAGAAATTCACATTTCTGCTAAAAGGAATACCGTATTTAATTAAAACAAGTCAGTGCAGGCTCACTAAAGCCCTAGGATCTTTTAAACTATTTGCGTACCACATTGGGTGTTTGGGAAAAACAGAGTGGATGGAACTTAGAAGTAAGGTACAAAGTACCGCAGACGTATATTAA